AGAGAGAGAGGGAGGGAGAGAGAGAGAGAGTTCTCGATTAAATTCAAGGTTTGTGAAGATATGGGGAGTTGATTAGAACCACTTCACCAGGTATGTCGAGACATTATATTACGAGCCTTATCAAATGTAAATATGTTTGTCAAATTAATTCCGTTTTTGATACTGAAAACTGTTTTTATCATTTTCAATGAGGTACTTTCAACTTTGGAAATATCCGAAAACACATTTATCACGTCTCGAGCACTGTTGTTACGCATACTGCGATTGGTTGGGACATGCCATTGAATAAAAAGGGATATTACATGGTATATTGCCCGCCAAGTGGATATTGCATGGTGTATCACATACATATGACGTCACTGTAACTGCTGCACAAATGATGGCGCGCATAAAAAAAATCCGTTCGCTGCACTGCTGCTGTCCCGGCTGTTGTTGTTTCAAAGGTATTGTATGAACTTTAGCCATCCGAAATAGACAGCAAACATGCCTGAATGTATATTAAGTAAGGGTATTACTCATATATAGCAAATATATACGGCGTAACCGCCACTGAAACGTCGCATCCGGGGTCGCTGTGGCGCGTTGTACGCCACGAGGGCTTAACGCGTGCCACGCCGATGCTCACCGACAACGCTCCAGACTGAGTATCTGTGCATGCAGATAGAAGGTCTGACAGGTTTATCAGAAAAGTGGTGGAATGACATGCGTTTTGGAAGTTTTCAATTCATTGCAATGTTGTTATACTCGATAAATTGAGTGATTCGCACTGCTGATAGTAACATTTACTGTGTATTTCGCAGTTTTTTTTTATGTTCAGAAAACAGTGTGTGTATGTTTGCTATTGAGTAATGTGTCACTTGTAATACATAAAATAACATATTGCATACTTAAAATATAAGTGTTGTTATTTTGTGCGAGGGCGGGTGTGAGACATGTTTGATAGGTGTTGTTGTGAATGGAGAATGCGCATTCGGGCAATATCATGACAACCATTCATTAGGCAAGTAATACATTGTGAAATTGCCTTCACCAACATGTGTTATTGAAATATAACATTGTATTAGTAAAATCATCACGTATTGCGGCATGAACCGTGATCTAGGTCATGTTCGTTCATTATAACGTATTAATGGAACATATTACCATGTGTATTTCCATTGTGTAATTAGGTAATTGAAAAATCATCCTCTAATACCCAAGGTGAATGCTTAATTTCATTTCATAGTTCTAGAGTAAGATCCCCAGGGAAACAACTATTTCCCATGTTTGACTAATTCTTTGCGAGTCTAATTTCACTACACTCATAGCTGATTCATTGAGGCTTACGACCAGCTGGCGACTACAAGCATAATCCATTAAAAGTTTATTGATAAAAATATACGTATGTCGCACTGCACGCAATGAAACCTTTTGTCGACGAAATTAAACAATCGTGGGTGAGGAGGAATCGATTTGCGATCAAATAGCTGCACAGAAATCACCATATATAGGAATATTTAGATGATGTTAACGTTGAGATCGGCGATAATCCAGGCGTTTAAATTCAAAGATGAAGACAGAATATACGTTTCAGATGAAAAAGCTAATATTATGTAATTTATGATATCATAGCCACTTTAAAAAGAAGGAGAAAATGATTTCATGTATTACTTCAAAGATTACATAAAATGTATTAAACGTGTTGTACATCATTGTAGCATACCGGGCCAACCGTACGTATAAAATGCATATGGCTGTTAAGGCAACCGAACTGATACAATTCATTTTTGAATTTTATAGCTTTCAACTAAATTCTAAGTATAAAGTATACAATTTATTAAATCTGACTCATACAGGTCATATATAACCTATTGACCACCAAAACATACTTATAACTTTATTTTCAGCGACTACAAAAACGATTTGTATATATTATACATTTATTGTCGATATACTTTACTGTTTGTCTCTTCGCAATATCCTTATTTGACTTATTATAATTATATACACAAGTAATATGCGCACTAAAAAGTTTGAGTAATTTTCATCGGTATTTTTCCAAGTCATTTTCTCAAAGTATGATGTCATAATTTACCCATAATCCTTTGTCGGAGAATTAAGATGGACTACAAAATACTTCCACATTTGTGGAGCTCTTTTATCTGGGAGCATTGTGTTGTTAATCAACAAGTAATGGTCTTCAGATCGTTTGTTTAAGTTGGGCATGGAAGTCTGACAGGGATGTCCCAATAAAAGTTCTACGCATCCATATCCCTTTAGTAACAACGATACTATTATTGACCAAACAAAGACAAAACAATGTGTTAGCCTCGGTTTTTACAAACTTGCTACCCCGTTTAACAGATTGTCACAATTTTATGTACCTATATTTGGAGTAACAACAACTATGATGGTCAATATATATAGTATTTGTAACATTTCATGATTGTTAACCACCAAATGCACAATATAAATGTTCTTGCGAATTCCCCTATACTTTCAAGAACACTGATAATTATGTTATATGCTACAATTCGGCAGATTTTAGTATGAGTACACATATACAACCCATATGCCAATTAGGCCTGCCGATGATTTATGTTACACTACCTTACGTTGTATTGTATCTCTCCAGTGTAGAGTATACTCATGGCTCTGTTGTCGCTCGTGACGCCGTGAAAGTTTCCTGATTTGCCATTCTCAAAATACACATCCGGACGCCAAATCCTGTTCACAAACTCCGGTGTCCGAACTATTATTGTGTCTGAGCCGTTATGGTAGAGTCGGGGATCTCGCCATTTCATCTTTAAATAAAGAGTGACTGAATACTCCTGGACATGGGGAGAGTTCATTGAAATATTATTCACCAATGTTTATATTTGTAAATCTATATACTAGTATATAACGATATGATAAATTAACAGTGGTAATATTATTTAGATTTCACAATTGATTAAGCGGTACAATGTTTAAATGTAGGGTTAGTGGAAATGAAAATTGCTAACGCGCAAAGAACAAAAGGTATAGTTTCTCAAAAATCAAAGAATACGTACTGCATGTTGTTCAGTTGCATATTAAAGAATAAATGCGAGGGCACTTGAAGCCAGTTGCCCGTATGCCTTTTCTCTATTCAGACATTAGCGGATATGTCGAAATGTAAACAAATATAATAAATTCCATACGATGTTACAGGAACTAGTCTTGCAAAATAACACGAAATGTATGAAAAATGCGTTAGCTTCAATCATCCTTAAAACGACAATGGCGGCAAATCTTGTTAGGAATATGAACATACCATTCTGGCAGCTTCTACTGAGTCAAAACTTGACACATGTAAGCTGCACGTCACGTTAAGGGGATCGCCTGTGAAAGGATACAATTAAGCTAATGTTAGTAATTCACTAAAACGTTATGTAGAAAATGCGTTTGAAGAGTTCCCATTATCAGAAGAGAAACTGGACGCTGTTTTAATGAAACAGTGCGAATCAAATTCAAATGACTGCCATTAAGCTAGTCACAGCAGCACGCCCACTACCTTTGACAACATTCTTGAATACTGAAACCTTTTCCTCGCCGATTTGTTTGTAGAACGTGTATCAAATTACTTTCTGTTACTAAATTGGTCTGCGACCATGCGCTGTTGTATTATTTGCTAACCGTACAAGCCAGTAAGTTACGAAAACCCCACATGCAATGTTCGTCAAAATTGTATGATCACATAACCTCAATGACCTTCCAGTCACTTGCAAAATCACATTTAATTCCACTGATCATTTAAAAAGCGCTAGTGCTGTGTGTAATTGACTCCAAGCGCCGTGTATTTTAATACCGAAAACTACGTTTCCACAACAAAAATATACAGAGTGTACTTAAGACCAGACACAAATCATAGTGAGACCGATACCACGTCACTTTATAATCACTTTCTAACCATCAGGACGTGTATGTAATAAATACAGTCTTGAAACTATTCTAACGAACAACCATATGAACTGTGCGCGTCATTAAACTTAAAAAATGTATGTTGTATTCAAATCTCCACATAATGCAATAATCTGCAAAGCAATGAAGAAGATACACTGTAAATCTTAAAAGCACTTTCACTATTTTCATTAAAACATAACAGTTTTAATAGAAGGCACACTGTTGTCATTACAATGTGTATTGTATTACAAAACACATGTATTTTCTATCAAAACAGTAGTGTTTTAGTATTTTAAGAAAAGTGTTTTGTGGAGTTATTAAACACTTTTGATGGAAATTATATAACTTTTAAACACACAAAATTACACTTTTATCACAATAAAACCGTGACTGTTTGCGGAGACATAAATGTGTCATAAAAAGTATGTATTTATAGGACATTTATGCATCTAACATTAGCAAGCAGTATTAACAAAATTGAGTGAAAAGTCTGGAGACTCGTAACTAAACATTATGGTATATATGCCAATTGACAACCCCCCAAGGTGACGTAAAGCATAATGAAAAAAAAACTTCAGAAAATTATTTCATGTCAAGCACCAGGTTGTGGAAGTACGCTTATATGGTCTTACTAACGTAAGTACAACTAGAAATCGACACGTGGTGAATTAAGTACCTCGTGGCCTAACGGATTCTGATACTTCGCATTTGGTGAACGGTAGTTGTAGTTCCGATCACATCTGAGCACTTCACATGTGTTTTTAGCATGTTTCCCGAAAACTGTTTGGAACACTTCAGAAAGCAAAATTACCACGACCATAAACACCGGACTATAAAAGTTTCGCAAAGAGTTAATGTATAAGGCACATTTGTGATTTTGAGAGTAACTAAATCACCTTGAAGCGCTTCCTAACACAAACACACATGCAATGTGTCAAGGTAAAACACCCGAATATACAGTGTTTATGTATACGACATGTACACAAGTTCATAAGAGTACCTAAAACAATTTTCTTCCAAATTGTTTTATCTTGAAGCACTTCCTTAAACAAACATCCATTGAATTGTTTCAAAGTACAACACCCGACTATGCATGTTTCATAAGTGTTTATGTATATGACATGTACACAAGTTCATAAGAGTATTTCTTCCAAACTGTTTTATTTTGTAGCACCCCTAAAACAAAAACACATGCAATATATCAACCTAAAACACTCGATTATATATGTGCTCATATACATGACACATTTGTATACCGTCCACGGGATGCATCTTTAGTAACCACAATGCTTATTATCGACTCTATGTAACATATTTATTAGAAATAATGCTCACCATTGCCAGCAGACATACTGTGCATGTGCAAATAAATATATTGATTTTAGTATTTTCAATAATAAACAGCTTTATATACTAATATATTGTGTCACAAGTTGAATAACGATGGAATTAAACATGCACGTTGTTGTTATCAAAGCTCGGGTTAGGTGTTTAATTTCTAATTATTATATTCATTTTCTTTATAGCTATTTTTATTATCGGAGCTTCAGTGTTGAATTCCAATTTAGTGACCACCGCACACCTGTTCAAATTT